TGAAAATGAAATATATTCTTACACGCATAGATAAAGTAATAATTTTTCCTTTATCAGCATTGTATCATAATTACAATTAAAATTAATTTAAAAACTCATTTTGTGTGTAATCGATAGAAAATCATTGTAATAACTTACCATTTTGTAATAATTACGATTTTCTACTAGATGAAATTTCCTTTCATTTTATTTATAAAGTTGTTTTAACGCGAGCAAGAACAATGCTGAAAAATGAAAATTATAAATTGTTAGAAATTTAATACAATGTAATCTTTATTTATCGAAAAACAGTTAAACTTTAAACTTAATTAATAAATGATAAATCATTTATTACAATTATGAAATAATAATAGAATAATTGTTTATTATATTAAATGATTTTTTATATTTATTTATTTATATTTCATTAGTATTTAAAGCATTGATTAATGAAATCTAAGCAAATTGTCCTACAAATTTTATTTTTTATAAAAACATAAAGAAGTAGTTGTTATGTATATAATTTGAAAATTACGATCCGTCTGAAAATTTGAAATATTCCTTTTATACGGAAGTATCGATATATTTTTGTACTCTAATGATTAAAATTCTTAAGTATTTTAAGAAAATTTGTTGAAAGCTAAGAATTATATTACGATTATTAACTAAGCTTGTAATAAAACGTTCATTACCAACATTACGAAACAAAGTAATATATATAAAATACATAAAGTATTGATAAAGTGTAACAATTTTAAATCCCTAGGTAAACCTAGGAGTGTGATATTAATGAAAGATCTTTCAAAAAAGAAATTACAAAATTATTCTCGACGGAAGAGTAGAGTAATATGTATTAGCGAATGGAATAGTTTGGTTATCATTATGATTCTATCAATAAAATTTCGGAATGTAATTTCGTCTGAATTATGAAGAGGAGCTTCGCATTTTTATTCGTATTTTTCCCGCTTACCGTTTCCTGAATCCAGCTACTGATTTATTTTTCATTAATGAGGATATTTCTATTCTTTTTTCTAATTACAGTTATGTTTTTAACGATAATAAATTATAATAAAATTTTATGATAAATAATGTTATCGGGACATAAAAGATGATTGTTCAAAATGTAATCTAAAAACTCAATATCTTTTCGTATTAATGCTGCTTACTATCATAAAATGAATAAACGCCACTGCAAGGTTATAAAATGACTAAATCATGTTTCGTAAAAGAATGAATTAAGCGATACATTTGATTGGACATCGCTGTTTCATCTAAATTGATAAAAACTTTTAAAACGTGTTACAAATTTACCGGCTTCGTCTAAAATTTTCATCATTTGTAATAAGCTTAATACTAGTATATCCAAGCTATCTGAGTGCATTTAGTTACGATACAAATACGATTCGTGCCCATATTAGCATGACAGTCGCAATGGAAAAGTGCAAACGTATGCTAGCGCAGGTTCGCACGCGCGTAAATGAATTTACAGAGCGCAAACCATTGGTAAAGCCTCTGAATAGATTAGGAACACTTTGCAAAAATAGCTTATAGCTGAGTAGACTATCGACAGTAATAATAAAAAAGAGTGGAGGTGCAACTTTCCACACCGCGTTTCGAATGTGCCGCCAGAGCTGGCAACGCTGAAACTCGTCGACCATCTCCATAGACGCAAGCGCGAGATGAACTCCGAATGAGCGCTGCAGCAGTTCTCCGGTCGCCTATATCACGGTTTACTGTCAAAATATTCTTTCGGCTGTGTCGGTCGTAAGAGAAAGTTCGAACTTGCTCCTACTGCTACTAGATTTCGATGAGCCTCAACGCATATTGCGTCTGTAGCGCGATTATATTATACGATATCAACGATCAGCTGTTGTATAGAGAATAGACGCCAGACGGCGCTCCCATCAACAATGAACTACTAGGTAAGAAAAGAAAGACCATTGGTTTTGTTTTTGTTTTTTCATCTTTTCTTGTTTTTTAGTTGTTTTTTTTAAACAAAGTTCGTTTAAAGTTTGCTCCATTCGTTATACATTAAAGTACGCTAGTACGTGAAAATCAGGGTAGGTTTAATATTTCATAAATATTTTTATGTTAAAAAATACTGAGAAATAGAAGGGAGAGACACAATTAATTATTGTGTCTGATTATTAACAAAAGCATATTTCATTATTAATGTTTCTATAACATCAGATTTTAATTTTAAAATAACTCTACGCAAATAGTACTTATGTACAATAAATAGAAGTTGATCTGAATAATACAAATTTTAGTTACAAACTCATAATTAAAACGATAACATTAAGTGCATACATTCGTAGATTTTATCGTAACCCCTTTTTTCTCTTAAAAATATATGCATAACTTCAATTTATTTTATTAGTCATCATTATCCATTGAATCAGCTATAAACAAAACTTGTTTCGGACTATAATTTTACTTATTTCATACAATTTGTATATCGCAAGAATCATTATTTTTAATACTTATTTAGCATTTTCTGAGTTACCAATTCAACCGTCGTCTCAGAATTTTATAAGTGTTTTCGATATTTTCGCACATGATGACGACCTTAAGAAATCGACAACCAAAAACATAGCGATAATATTAAAATGAGCAGCTAAGATATAACTTATTATAACTTGTGCGAAATTTCTCTGGACTATAGAACGAATTCTGATTGGCGCCGAGTTAAGATTTTTCTCACGCATTTATTGACGAGATAACGATAGTAACAACCTGGAAAATACATAAATAGGCGCATCGACCAAAATATAAAAATATACATTGCCCGTCACATCATTCAATCAGGGGCAGGTGGGTACTATAAACCACCGCATAATAAAACTAATCGGCATAAATTTGCTGGCAAAACGACTTATAGACAGCTAAAACAAAAATAAAGTTGGCGTATCAGCGCCACCGCGCATCGCAAAATAAGAAGAAAAGAAGGAAGTCTCCGCGCATCTCGCCTTATCTCGTCATTTTCATAACCGTAAATCAAGGTGCGTCGCGCCTTGTAAGAAAATGAAGGATGCGGCGACTGCGGTATCATTAATTTTCGCGTCATGGTTACACGAAATATCTCGATGTCGTAGGGTAGAAAAATGGAATGAAAATCAGGACAAAACATAAAGTCGCGAAATGCTAAATTTATGGCGAATGATTAACAATATTTTATTACATTTTTTATGAAATTTACTTGTGAACTTACTAAGTATATTTAAAATATCAACTTCGTATCTATCATATTCTTCAAACACTGATTTGATCATCATAGCATGGATTCATACTTGCTACATAGATTATACAATTCATTTTTTGAGAAAGTAATGTAAAATTATTTATTTTACAAATAATTTTTGCATGTGAATAATAAAGGAAAGTACATTAAATTAGCAGAAAGAAAATTAATTTTTATAATTTATTTCTATGAAATATATATTTTATTGATTAAATCGTCTGCAATTTTTATACGATCACAACATACTTTTATGTTATTCATAAATTTCAATAGACTTAAAATGAATTAAATAAAATAAAATGAAGTTAAATATAGCTGCCAAGTGTCTATATTCAGTTTTATCCAGAATGAAAATCCAGAGTAGCACAGATATTAAAATAATTCATGAAAACAGCTATTATAATTAATGCTGCAATTATTCACACCATAATCGGATAATTACTTTATGCAAATAACTTATCAATAGTGAAAAATATTTTCATTATTAGGCTATAACTTATTATTGCGACTATCAGCGAGATTCTTTTTCAGTAATTGTGATTAAAATCATGAGGTAACACATAACGGGATATGTAATTCAATTCTGGTGTATGGAGAATTCAAAAACTATTTTTCTTTTATGAGTATTCGAACAGATAATGAATATGTTTGGTATTCACTTTCCTGAATTTTACATATGCTTTCACTAATTCAAGTTTCGTATCCTTAATAAAAGATAAATATAAAAGTATGTTACATAGACGTGAAAATAACGGAAAATGTTTAAATATTCCGAAGCCTACTTCATTGAATCTAATTTTGATCAACAAATGTTTACAAAAACTGCTATCGCTGATAAATACATTTACATTAAAGATCTTGTGTAGTATAATATTGACTAAAACGTTTGAATTTTTGCATTCCAATTATGAACAATTGCAACAGTCGATATATATATATATATAAATATATATATATATATATATATATATATCGATTTTTGTAATTTATAATGAGTTATCGTATGTTAAATAAAATAAGTTCAAATGTGAAAATAACGGATTACTTTATTAAAATAAATTACAGAATAAAATATCAATTAGCAGTGATCCATGACGTTTAATAAACACTTTGCAATTATTATTCTAATAGTATTTAAGATGCACAAATTTACAAATATATACGCTTCTGACACAATATACGCATTCATATAAAAAAAAGAAATATCATTTTGTATGTGATGTTTGATATCGAGAATAACATGTCTATATGTCGAAGATCTTATTCAATGAATTTCTAAGCAAATTCTTTTAAACATTTAACCTATTTTTATCTGTTTTAAATGTAAATACAATAAAATACATTGGTGTAAACACATTGTTATTTAATTTAATTTCTCAGATTGGCATTTTTCAATTTTTGCTTTCAATGTCACACTATACACAAAAACTACTTTTCAAAACGATAATTTTTTTTAAAAATTGTTTTTCATGAATTTCTTATGTCGCTTTTCATAATTTTTTTAATGTTGTAAAAATATCATTTAACAAACAAAATACATATTTTAGATTATAATTATTAAAGGAAGTAATTTGTTGAAGATAGTTTATCAAAAATTAAATTTGAGATTTCACGTACATATTAGAAGTGTATTAATGTATTGGTATATGCCTTTTTACTCACATGTATTATCATTTTTATTACTATTTCGTATGTATAATTTATTTTTAACACTTTTCAGTTTTTCAGGTATAAAACAATATTGTAACCCTAAATAAAACAAAATATAATTAATTGGAAATTTTCGAATAATCCGATGACATTTGTATCGAAATGAAGAAAAAGTTTGTTCAATATTTCACATCCAAGAAATTGAAACCATTGGCTTCAGAGGTTCGTGCATTAAATACTTATTTTGTAAAAAATGTTCAATTAATACATACAAAATTACTTTGTAATAATTAGAAAAATGAAATTTTTTTTTACTGCTAGCATTAGAAATTTCAAAAAAGTAATATAATATAATTATAAAATAATTATAATATAATATAATTAAGATCTTTATAAAAAATAAAAATCAAATAATTTATTTTAATGAATTTGCATTATCAAGTATTAAAATTGAAGGTGATACTAAAATAATGCATTGGTATGGATTTGGTGTGATATTATTTACAAGATAATATATTTAAATGGACGATACTAGGAATGATTAATTAGTACTATTATAAAAATGTAACAAATTAGGATATAGGTTAGAGTACAGTGAATTTGAGTATTATATATAACTAGGACCAACGGTAATGATAATGCTAGTAAAAATTTTTGATTTTCGTAACGAATGGTTGTACCTCATTTATTAAACCTGAACAATAATCTCAAGTGAAAATAATAACTCAGCGAATATCCCTACTTTCTTCTCTTTTCCATCGCGTTAAAAAGTAAATATTTCATAATTAATACGGCACATTGATGTGCGATGATCAACTTAATTCGCATAGAATACATTTATGATTATTTATTATAGTACAACGACTAAATATTATTAAGTTTAATTTAAATCAACGCAACATTTTGTATATATGTATATATATATTTACATAAGTATTCAGACTATTTGTCGCACTAAATACAATCAATGAATATGTAGGGTAGTATGATGAATTGTTCAAGCTATTTTTTAATATAAAAAAATAGCTACGAAAAAATACTACTGAATGATTTATCACACCACAAACTTTTATTTTGATTCTGTTACTTTAAATACAATAAGAAAATAGAACTTATTTGGCACTGATGAGGATTGCTATTCATTTGAATGCGCATATCAATGAAACAAAATTTTATGTTGATTCATACTCAAGAATATTAATATCTATAATATTATTAAAATTAAGGACACGAGTTAAAACGTATTAGCTTATACCAATAAAACTAAATTGCATTTACATAACAAAAGTATTTTTACTCCGAAAATATTATTAAAATGAAATTACAATCTTCTTCATTACGTAACGAGCATTTATTCATATTTTGTGAATTATTTATTTATCGTTCTTTCTCTCAGGCCAACGTGATTTTCTTCATTTTTTTATAAGTTATTATTATTGAATTAGCAACGAGTACTTTTCCGCTTATTCTGTTGAAGTATCGTAATTCAGCAGCGCTCGTCAGCGATTCAGAAATGACGGAAACAAAAAATAATCGACGCCACCTGTCGCGTTTAAAATTTTCCCGAGGGACGTGAAACCGATAAGCCGGACCATAAACTCGCCTCGTCCATTTGAAATATCGCCTCATTACAATGTGAATTTACGATTGATAGCGTAAATTACGATAAGGTATTTCGTAATAAATCATAAGCATGTTATGTCACCAATAATAATGGGGTCTCCAATGCCGATGTTCTGTAGTATTTTTATGCGATATCATGCATTATTTTGTCATTTTTAATTAATCTAAATATCTTTGAATATACTGTCTTAAAACAATATAAAACTTACAAGAAAATTAGTATCGTATTTTATGACACGATATGTTTGTTAAGTTAGAAATGAAAATTCGATTTTGGATATCATAATAAATTAGGTGTTTAAAATTCTTTATCCTAATTGTTTTATCGATACAACATAAAAATGTTATGTACTGCATTTAAGAACTTTCCCAATAAATTCATTTTCCTGTTCAATACATTGAAAAAATTGTATTTCATGCAACTAGTCCATTCGTTAAATAACTATAGTCGAAAAAATAAAAATAAAAATTCATTTGCAAACTATGCATAATCCTTACTATGATATTATAATTTCCATTTTAAATATAATGCAAAAATGAAGAGAGGCGAGTTTTAAAAAGAAAATAGAATAGGAATAACCGATTCCGCACCGTACACACAATGCGCACGCATCATCCATTGTTTTCTTTTAACACTCTGTATTCCAATCACATGACACACAATCTTAAGTGATAAAATTCACGTCACAAACGTCTTCTTAAAACCTCTATTAAAATATGCTAATATAAGCAGCCAACTACCTTTGGATTACAACAGGTGCTGACGAACTATTTAGTGCAGACGAAAGAGCCACCGTGGACGTCATATTTTGTGCGATACGCGGATGTGCGCAACGACCAGCGCAGCATGTCGCACTTCAATTGGCCCGTGGGCAGCAGTAACTATCACGTATTACGCACCGGATGCTTCCCCTATATCAAGTACCACTGCAGCAAACGACCCTATGAGAACCTCGACTTCGACGACAAGTTTTTCAAGGCTATCAAGATCCTGAACCTCGGTAAATGACCACAAGCACTGAATACTTCAGTTGCGTTAAATAAATAATAAACTATTATAGAATTATACCTAATCACTTCGTAATGATTAATATTAAGGATTAGAATGAAATGATTTTATTAAAATGACAATTAGGCCGTTCTTCAATCGATTATTATACGTTTTACGATAGGGACATAAATCAATGAGACAATTTGGTAACTGCAGTTTTTGTATTCAATCTGAATTGCAATTTCTGGCTTAATTATTCGGTAAGCGCCAAATTACATTGTTACATATTTTTAGTCGTAAAGCTCCTTCAATTTTCTTAGACAATAAAACTTAGAAATGAACATAGAAAAATTCTTAGATATGAATGACGACAAAAAGCGATTATTAAAGTATCCATTACATTCTTATCGGTTTTACATTTTGTATGGTGCCTAAATAATCAAGATATTAAACCTGTATATTTTAAATTAATATTTAAACTTGGAGAACATAACTATTCCCTTCGCTCTCACTCTCCTTAAAACCTCTTAAAATTTAGGATGTGAATCCAGAAAATGTTAAAATCTTTACTTATTCATTTAAACGAATAATAAATAGGAAACGAAACCTTTCGTCATTACAAAAAATTGTAATATAATTTCTTCGACTAAAGAAACAAATAAATAAATTACAATATTTGTACTAAATAATTAATTTCTAAAACTTGGAACTTTCAATAAATTTATGTATTATGTTGAATAAATAATGATACTCTGTCCAACTAAAAAAAAAAACAATTATCCATTAAAATTAATTATTATTTATTGTACATGATAGATAAACATCCATTCGAAAATTCATAAATAATATGGATAAAATAATTATAATATTTATATTATATATATCAATGTAAAAATCCATCTAATCCTTATTGCGATTATATATTATTGTGCTTTAAGGATAAAGCTGTATTCATAAAGTTTTAAGCGTTTAATTGCATATTATTAGCATCGAGTTAAGTATATTCATCAACAGCAGTTTAATATATATTACAGATCTAATATTCGGAAAAGAAAATTTCAATTTTATATCACATTACAAATAAAATAAAATCAAATTTTTATCTCAACTCAACTCTATCACAACTCATATTATGTATAAAGTTATTTTTAATATGAATGATGAATGTTTATCAATAAACATGTGATTAAACTTCATTTGTAGTATGCATTAATATATGGAACGTTAAATATTAATGCTTAAAATAATCTGATATTCTAAATCATTCTATAAAACTGAGCAACGCTTCCATTTCTATACAACAAAATTTCATTTAACTCTTTGCATTTTTTTCAATAAAAAATTTAAATTAAATATTGACTAATGATCTAAAAAATAGCAAAAATATTTATAAATAACTGAAATAAAATATTCATATTGGTTATATCTTTAAATTTACATGTTTAGCTACGTTTTTCTAAAGAATAAATTCCGTGAAAGTTGATGGATAAAATTCATTTAGTAGTACCAAAAACTCGTTAAACGTATTTTTAACTATTCAAATTCACAAATAAATAACTATACTGAAGCTAATTAAACTATGGATTTTAACGATAGATTTTAACTATAAAAAGGCATGCGGCAAATACACTTTCATTTATTTGCTTAGCAATTTGAGCCTACCGCACAATAATTTTGTTCTAAATTATTGCATTTAATTAAGTAATATTTAATATACTTTATTTTCATTTGAGTTTATTTCTTAAAACATAATTTAAATAGATTTAAATATATTGAATTTCTGTTGAGTAACATATGTACTGATTCATTTATAATCAATTTCTTCATAAGAAAAACATTTTAAAATCAATTTTTTTTTTACAACTAATTTCGTATTCATAAATATGTGACGTTTCTTTATAGGACTATGTTTCTTATTAATTTGACTAATCTAATCGTTAACATTTAGGTGTGCCAACAATGATGTATGGATTAATAGCAACTCAATTGATTCGGCATTCAGAAACTGTCAAAACAACCAACGGTGATGTAACAATTTTCTTTCTGCTGTTAGAAGACAAGAGATCGCAATTCTGAGCATAGACATATAACTGATTTGTTAAGATTTTATTGCCATTTATTAGTTCAACAATTAATAATAATACAACCAGAAAATTAAAGCAAAATTATAACTCTGTAATTATTTTATTTTGTTACATAATACACAAGTATATACATAGTTTGTAAATTCAATATGTAAATACTATAAAGAATAATATATAACAGTGCAACTTAATTAAATATTCTCCCTCTGGCTTTGATTATTATCTGTGTGTCTTATAACATCATGTCTGAGTAAGTTAATTAAATTTTACTAAAACGAAAAATACAGTTTATACGATTTAATAATTTATAAATAATAAGATGAAAATTATAATAAGAAAAAATTAAAATATTTAATATTTTATTCCAGATATCATAATTTTATAAAATATAAAATAATTTAATATTCATGTATTTTCCATACTAAATTCAGAATAATTACAATAATAATCTGCAAGCTTATAATTATATTGATAAATATCACAAGTAAAATATAGATGTCAGAAATAAATTTAAAAATTAATTTAACTATAAATTTTTAAAAAAATTTCTTTATTATTCGACTATGAAAATACGTATTTTTATTTCATCGAATGCATATATAATACAGTGAAAGAATTTTTCGTATACCGACAAAAATAATACTTTTGTAGGCGACGATATATGATAACGATAAGGATTAATAATAATATCGCGTACTTGAATTATGAAAAACTTTTTTTTCCTATTTGCTTCATTTTACAAAACTAAAGCAATTGATAGTAATCATTATTAATTTTATGTGTTAAATATTTGAGATACACAAAAAAATTATTTTTATAAAATACAGGATGATGTAAAGATAAAGAATGATGCGTTTTAAATGATATGAACAATTTTAAACAGCTATGAAGATTTGCTATTAATTAAAGTATAATATATTTTAATTATAATCTTTAATTAATAAGAATACGATTGATTGCATCTAGATTAAATAAAAAAATGTGTTCACTTACAGACACTTAAATTTATATTTTTAATTTATTCAATACTTTAAAAGGCAATTTCTCGAAAAAAAATTAAATTAAAAAAATTATATTATATTATTAATTTAAAATATCAATTTCAAAAACAAATATAAAAATAATACATATTTTATGAGTTGTTTTAAGAAATAAACAATTACTATCCTTTATCTTAATTATATTAAGACAATTTATGTTCGTCGTTATAGTCATGAGTGTCTGGAAGGTGGTTAGGTTATTTTAACTTGTTTATCTTGCAAACACAAAACGAACGCCTACTAGCTATTTCAAGAAGAATTGACGTTTATTAAAGATGTGACAGAGTAGCTAGAAAATTACATAAAATCAAGCGGTCAGAGTTCTAAGAAAATATTCTTGACGTAAATAATAAAATATTTTTCTTGTAAGAGTATTGATAGTACTAAAATTTTCGATACAGAAAATCGTTATTATCGAACCTTCTCATACGTCACAGAGCAAGGTTAATCAATGATCAACATCCATTATAATAAAATAAGAAATATAAATGGAAAGTAATAATAAATAATCATGGACAAAATCTTTATTCATTATAGTTTTTTTATATTACGAATAATCTTTTTTATTATTTTAAACTGCTGCAATACTTTTGCTTTCCATTAAATTATTACATCCTTATAAAACATGAATATTTTTTTACAATAAAGTAAAGAAAAATCGCTAAATAAAAAAAAAGACTTTAAAATATCAAAAAATATCATTAATCACATACCATCAAAGTCATTTTCGATGCCGATCTAGTCCATCTTAAGCCAGCCTAAAACAGAAGAGAAAGGGAGTATCAGTATGTGTGCTTTAATTTAAATCTTTGATACACATAACATCAGATAAATATTTTCTAAATAATTGGCAGATATTTTTTCAATTAAACCTTTCAAAATTAAAAATTCACATCAACTCCATAAGAAATGTGAAAATTCTAGTTCTTCCTATTTTTTCGTTATTTTGAATTAGCTTATACAATATAAAGAATTTATGATAAATACACACACATATATATAGGTATTCCGACATATTAATTGTAATTATATAATTGAGTATTATAATAATTAAAAGCTTAGCTTTCCAGTATACTAAGTTTGTCACTTACGTCCATCTATTCTAAACATTTACATTCTTTATTAACTCATCTAATCCAAATTCATGTTTATAGTCTTCAATAAATCCATCCACCTAGAAAGTGAGTTTTACTAATGCCTGTAATAACTGGTTATGTAAAACGTCGTAACACATGGGGACCAATGAATAACGCCTATAATTATTATAGTGCATTTATATTTTTATAAAAATTAGAATTGCCATCGAATATCTCGATTTTTCATACAGAATTTTTTTTTTAAATCTATATTTCAAGCAATTTTATAAATGGAGTAATTTATACTACTTCCGTGTATTTTAGTAATTCTCATATATATCGAATATAGATCGATCTCAGTAGTCTCATTGTATTGTAACGTATTAATTTCATAAACTTCTTATTAGAAAGTAAGAATTCGCATTTATCAGTAAAAAATAATTTATCTTGTTATTTGAATAGTGAGATAAGAGATCCTATACAATTTCAATAATAATATATTTCTATTTATAATTGGACTCTTTTTTTAAACTAATTCTTTTTAATATGTCTGTATACTTTTATATTGTCAACTCCCTCAAACAGAAATACACTATACATTCATACTCTTCTACAAATATTTATAATCTTTTATATCGCAAAAAGAAGGCAAAGAATGTGAACTCGTCATTTCTTTACGCTAGATGAAATCGTGGAATTCGTATAGCAGACAAAGGAACAATTGCAATTCCTTCTTTCCATTTTCTGTTCTTTTTTTTTTAACAGTACAGCAACCACCCGAGGAAAGATTACGCAAAATATGCCAATCATTCAAGTACTTTCCCCACACTGTGAATACACTTGCTTTCAGATTTACGATCCCAGCAAACATTCCTTCTTCCTACTTCTTCGAAATTTCTTGTTCAACACTTTCCGACATAACCTCCATGGAGAATTTCTTCTCACAATCATATGTATTTATATGTGTTAATATATAAATATTTTATCGATGACCAAGTTTCATTTAAACTCTTTTTGACTATTTAATGATACATTCAAATGAAGACATTAATAAATTTTTAAATTATTTGAATAAAAAACAACCAATAATTAAATTTCTTTATATATATAAGATAATTAATACAATTTATTTATTGCCAATAAATCTACACGTCTTAGTATATTGTATTATGTTATTTTATTTATCATGATATAATTTATAAAACTATTTCTAGGTAAGGTATTATTTTTTACAGAAACAAAAATATTGAACTAAGATTCAGTATCACCGCAATGGAAGTAATAATAATAACAATTAATTGGATATTTTTAAGCCAAATTCATATATGCTCCAATTATGCTGAAATTAATTTCTTTACAATACAAATAATATTATTTTTTAAGAAAATCAGATACATCTAATCTAATTGATTCCTTTATAATCTCGATCAATAATCTAATAACAATGTATATTAAATTTTTATTTCTTAGGGATAACAAACAATTACAATTAATAAAAGGAAATCTAGAAAAACGTTGATTTATTTGTAGCATAACTCAATATTTTTATATTTAATAAAGTGCAGGGTATTTACATTTTTGAAATACGTCCAAGTACTGTCTAACGTTAATCCTCTTGCGTATTTAACGACATACGATTTGCATTCTACTTACACGAGGTGTAAAGTGAACATTTCATTCTAGCTATCAAAGCATTGAACATGGAACAATAATAAATCTTTTATATACTTATCAAAAAAAACCTTTTTAATTAATTACGTATATATCCTATAAGTTTACGAAGTCTCCACGCCATAAAACTTTTCGATCTTTTGATTGGACGCGTACCACGTATATTCGACTTCTGCTAGTTGAAGCTAATAGTAGTCAAGGGATCAGACGTATTTATGCTTGGTGGAGGCTAATCCGGGGCCAATGATACAACTACGAAAAAAGAGAGAAAGCATTTTGCCTGCGACAGCTTCTCAAGATGCAAGTACGTTATTATAGCTATTCAGAGCTTGAGGTACTTAATGCTGCTGTAAACATGTAGCTGACTTCAGGATCTTCACTTGCGATGGCACCGAGGAATTTAAATCTTTCACTTTTTTGAGAAAAAGTACTTAAACTTAATTTATCGAGGAGTTTGCGCTGGGGGAGGAAAATGACTGGCTTGATTATTATCAAATGAAGTTTGGATGCTGTACATACTATGAATTTTCTAAAATAATTAATTTACTAAAATTGTTTTGTTACTAATTAGTTAAGAAATTATTTATTAGAAAAGCTGCATCTTCAATATCAATGGAATTGCACCTGTTAATTGTAGGAAGATAATGCGTCAAGATAAAAATATCTTTTGCGGTGCAGCACACTCTACATATATACTTAGTGCTTCCTATATTACCTCGAATTAACTTGATGTAATGGTTAGTAGTTTTCTTGTAGTTTTCATAATAAACTGTATGATATGTACAAAATAACTCTGCTGTAGTTGTTGAAAGCATAGTGTAATAACGGAATGAAGCTGCTCACATTTAAGAAAACTGTATAAATATTTTATCTAGTCAAAAACGGTTTTTCTACAACCTTTTACAATGAATTGTGAATTTTAAATTAGGTTGTTAATTAATAAAAAAATTCTAAAATTAGTAAATAATGGGATACTCAATAACTTAAAGAAATTGTATTTACAGAGATTATTAAAAGAAAATAATATTGTACAATGAGTGGTTAAAAATTAATTGATATAGAATTTAATGGTTTGATTAAATAATTAATTTTTCAGTTGAATGATGAGTAAATTGTGTAAATAATAGACTTATTATAAACAATTAGTAAAAATTATTAAGTATAAATAATACATTTTTAATATAAAATTGATTGAAACATAATAATTATAGTGATATGTACCATAGAATCTATTGAGCTTTTCTTGATTTAGAATTTTTTTCCTATAAGAATTAAACTAACAG